TTTTTTTTTTTGTCTGAATCGTTCATGAAACCCATTTTTCTAGTATTTTTTTTTTCCAAAGCGGCTGGAAGTGCTTAAATCCCTTAAAATACCTGCTCAAATGGGGGAGCTTACTTTGCATAGGGATTGCAAAGCACATTGAAATTTTTTTCCCCCCTTCTAGATTTAACACTTGAGAGATGGCTTCCTTCTTCCCTTCAGCCCTCGCCCATCCCCCCGCAATTGTTAATATAGATAGCACCACACTCTGGGGGGAGGGGAAGGAAAAAGGGCAAGAAAAACTCGATTTTTCCCTGTAATATCTATCGACCTCCCACCCTCTTAAAATCATGCTTGTAGGTCAGCTCTGTTTCACTCTGACCATTGTCTTAAGGGTCGCCGCTTTCCATTGTAATTTACACACGCATTGTGATTTAGGCGTACGTGTGAGCACTCACGCTTTTCCTCTGCCACTCAACTTTTCCCCTTCTTTAAAGTTCCAGACACCTGGCTGCATCAGCAGAGTTGTCTCTGGCCTTGGGTGCAAGCTTCAGGCTGCTCAGGCCCAGCTCTAGCCCTGCCTGAGGCCAATGTCACTCATGGGCCCACTGCCACTGGTGTCCCTAGCAGGGACTGCAAGTGTCCTGAGTATATCCCTGCGTTAAGGGTAGGGAGTTGGAAGCATTGGTGTCTCTTAGAGTAGGCCATGCTGGTGGAATGGTGACAAAGTAAAGCATTTAAGCTGGAGGGGAGCATATTTAGATTAGATATTAGGAACAAGTTCTTTACTGTGAGGGTGGTGGAGCACTGGAACAGGTTGCCCAGGGAGGTGGTTGAGGCCCCTTCCCTGGAGACATTGAAGGTGAGGCTTGATGAGGCCCTGGGCAACCTGGTCTAGGTGGGGGTGTCCATGCTGACTGCGGGGAGGTCGGACTAGATGACATTTGGAGGTCCCTTCCGGCCCAGACCATTATATGATCCAATCAGTTTCTTGCCCCAGTAATAAGCAGCATAAAGCTCTAATTTTGAGAAGATCTCACATAGATTAAATGTGTGGCTGATCCTTAATTCCACTGGTTCCACTAGTTGTCTGTGTTTTAGACGCTGGAGGGTGAGTTAGATAAAAGCTTAAAATTCATAATACAGAAGGGAGGAGTGATTGGTTCCTTATAAGAAAAAGAACCTGTGATGCAGTTTATGCTGTGTAGTAATTCTGTCCTCCTTGTTTCTTGCAGGATACAAACAGATTAATGAAACCAAACCTTAACCCCTCTTTCAAAATGAAATGCGATTTTGATTGTACGTCTCTTCCTGCTGGGTTTGCACCACTGAAGTCTACTGTGGAGAAAACAAGACTGGAAGAATCCTGCTCCTTGAATTGTAAGGAAGACTTTTGTAAAAGCTGTGCTGAAGAGCATCAGAAAATACTCCTTAGTGACTCATACCATGCGGCCACCAGAAATCTAGACCTTGAAGATGAAGGAAGACCTATACACAACAAAGAAAACAAACAACTAACCCAGACACTTGATGAAGGTATCTATGAAATGGAGGCACTGGAAAACAGTAAATTTAATGAGGACAGTGGTTATTCCTCTATGTTAAGTAACCAATACGCTGATGCAGTAGAACATGACGATAGTATACCTTTGGCTGGGAATCTCTGTGACACACCAAAGCATTGTTTCAAGAACCAAAACCAAGCACAGTTTTCAAAGAAGACTTTGTTGCCGGTAATCCATTATGAAGAAATGATTTGCTCAACTTTGAAAAAAAATGGGAAAAGAAATCTCAAGTCTTGGGCTGTGGTAGACAGAATTGTTTTTAGAGGAAAGGTTGAACTTTGTAACCTAATTGGAAAGAAAATGGGATTAGACACGATAGACATTCTTGCTGAACTCTTCCAAAAGAACCTGAAGCATATATTAGCAAACATCTTAAGGCATCTCGGTGAGATGGATTTAGTAAAGTAAGTATATTGATCTCATTGTATTTCATTGGGAAAATAAGCAACCTAATCAGGTGGCTTAAGAATGCTTTAGATAAGGGGCTTGTGACATTGACAAAGCCAATGATTAGTATTATATATTAGTATATTGAAACATAAACTGGCAATGTAAGCCATGTATAAGCCAAATAGGGACAATCTGTCTTTTTTCCTAGAAGGCAAATTAAAGACTACAACTGTGAACATATCCCACCTTCTACATGAAAGGAAAAGATTGCATAGTTGTTCCTACTATTAAATAAAAAGTTTTTCCCTTTCCTAGGAGGTAACTGATATGTTTGTATTGTCGTTGCAGTTTTGCCAAGGTCAGCACAACATGGCAGAAGATTCTACAGGAAGATAAATGTATTTTCCAAATATATAGTAAAGCTGTGAAAAACCTTTCTGTAAGTTTCTACACTTGTTGGATATTTCAAGCCTTAACCGGTAGTGTCTTTCTGCTATTTCAGGACTCCTCCCAGCCCTAAGAGATCTCAGAAGAGTTTCTTAGATTGAAAACATGGAGTGTCTCTGTGTCCAGTTAGGATGCCTGGTCTCAGGTGTTGCTAGTCACTTCCCTGTTGGGGATCTTCCTCTCAGGTGTTGCTAGTCACTTCCCTGTTGGTGCATAGACTGTCTTTGGATCCCGAGGAAGGTTTACTGAGCAAGATTACCCAGGGAAAGATGCAGGTGTTCTTAAGAGCTTCCACATGTCCTGTGTCACAGAGCAAGGCAGGAAGGAGAGGGTCAGTTCCAGCACTGCCCACTGGGCAAGCCCTCAAGGCTCTCAGCAGAGCTTGCTTAGCTTCAGCATCTCCACTCATGCAGAAGGGAGTGAGACTGAGCGAAACCACTCTGCTGACTGTGCCACGCAACCACAGATCCAACCACACTAGCATTGCACTTTACCAAGGCAGGACTCTTTTAAAACGTTTGGGGTTTTTCTTCCTTAAGAGGCAACGAAACAAGGCTTTGGGTCTGCCACAGAATAAGGTAGTCAACTAGCTTGAATTTTATGAAATATTTTATGATGCTGGTCTGTTGGGATGAAACAGTTGGATGGCACTGAACATTCATTCCATTAAGTTTGATTTGCTCCCTGCCATTGTATGCTTTTCTTAACCTGAACTGCAAACGTAGCTCCTCCCACCAATTCTCTTACTTTTCAGAAAGAAAACTTCAAGCATCCCTATTCAGTGGAAAGAATTAGAAATATTACTTTGTACTTTTAAACATTGCAGTGACGAGGTTACATTCTCTACCTCAATAATTATGTTAATATGAAAGTAAGTTACATTATGTAGTAGAAGATGGTTGGTTTTGATGGTCTGAATTAGGGGTCTGTTCTACGCGTCTATAACAGGAGCAACTGAAAAAGCTAAGATAAAATTAACATACTACTTGGTATGATGCTTTATTATAGGAAGCCTTCTAGGTGGGAGGACAGATCAAAAATAAGTTGTTGACTTCTGTTACACCAAGAATTGGTATCAGATAAGTCTTCTCTCAAATCTTATTCTTCTTTTTCTTTTCATTAGAATGGCGCTAAGGCATCAGAACATGTTGCAACAAGGGAATATGTTCTCTACCGAGCGGCTCTAGCTTCCATTCAGAAAGCAACCCCTCCAAAAAACTTGAGTAAAAAAGGCACCAGATCCAAAGCATCTAAGAATCACAGCAGGCTCATGGAGTTTTCTGAGGTAACTGGTGATTTCCATTCATCTATAATTTCTTGCATGTTGTCTGGCACACGATCAGCTTCTAAGAATATTTCTAAAAGTAGTATCTCCAATTTGAAGTGCTTGTTAGTATGGCTACACTTGGCTTATTGAGTGTATTTTAAGACAATGTCAGAAACTAAGTGGAGAATTGATACATACACTGAGATATTCTAAGTCTTTTTTCTTCTCCGCCCCCCAGGTGACTAGTTGTCCTTAAAATGGCTTAGTGGGGTTCTTCTGGCTTAAATTTTGCATTGGATAAGACATAAAAATGTATTTGTCCTCTTAGTTTCCACTGGCTTATAATGAATCACATGTTTTCCATATAGCAATCCCACAAAAATTATCAATTTTGCTTCAACACTGATATGCAATTATTTTTTAAAAAAACCACAAAGACTAAGTAGTTCTTATTCTTTTAAAATGAACAAATGAATAATTCTCCTGTTCATTCCATGCTGCTTTTTCAACTATTTATCTGACATTAAGTTGGCTTTTTCTAACTACACATTTGTAACGTCACACATTTGGAGTTGTCAACAACAGGTAACAGCATAAGCTTCCCTTCACCTTGTTATTTTTCTGAAGGTTTTGTTTTTCCCATATATGTGAGGGTCTACATTGCAAGAGGGATCTTATAAGACTTTTAAAAAATGTTTATCGAAAGTCATTGTTTGTTAATAAGCAACAGATTTTCTTAACTAGAAAAAAATTTTGCACTCAAGCTCCAAAGTCTGCAAATTGGTGCAGTGAGAGAAGAAAATGTAATTGCACTGGAAAGCATGATCAAGCTGCTCTCATGCAACTGTATAGCACTTTGTACCATTAGGAATCTGAAAGCTGAGCTGTACATTTAGTCTGTCTGTCCTTTAAATTGAAAATTTAAAGAATTTTGAATTGTCTACCTCTATTTCTGTCCAAAGTACCAATAGATCGATTATTCCTGTTCAATCTCCATAAGAATTTGATACAACCAGAATTGGACTAAATTCGTAATTTATCTCTAGAGTAGGAGAAGTCATATGCTTTTGTGGCACTTGGGTAACATCAGGGAATGTTTGGGCTGTGTATTTACCCTCCACTCATGATTTTTCTTTATATGCTTTTTCCAACAGGCTGCCAAGACCTTGAAAAACACCGAAAGCCTTAAAGTCTGCCATCGCTGTGGCTCACCTGCAAAGTACGACTCCTACCTACACAGAGCCACCTGCAGTCGTGAAAGTTGTGGATTAGACTTTTGCACAAAGTGCCTGTGCAGCTACCACAGCTCCAGTGACTGTACAAATAGCAAACCAGTGAAACCCAGCTCCAATCTAGGGCCTCTTCCTGGGACTAAGAAAAGCAAACAGAATCAACGGAGGTTGTGATCCATCCATCCATCCATCCCAGTACAGATACTCAGGTGTCCCATAACAGTTTTTTTTAGGGTATGAACTTATTCACAAAGAAAATCAACAACGACAAAAACCACTTTCTGCTATTCTATATTTAAAAAAAAAACGGGTTCATTTTATTATTTCTCTGTACTATTTGGTCATGTTCAAATTCCTAGGAATCATCACAAATTAAGCATTTTAAAAAAGCCTTACTAACCTCTAAATTTAAAAATTCTGGATATGGATTCTGATAACTTTTTAAATATTTTCCTGACAATTTGTCTATTGTCTTCCAGTCTTCAAAGCACTCCACAATGATATTTAATGAAAGAAAAAAGTTTTGCCACGTAGCCTTCCATGTGTAACCCTAGCAATTCTTGAATGCCAGAATGGGGATGCGTAAATTGTGTTTTATTTAAATATTTACTCATGTTCAAAAGTCTTTTAAAAGCATTTATAGTGAGGATGCCAATTGAGATTAGTGAATTTTATGATAATCTTTTTTCAGGGCTTTGCCTTAATTTTAAATGTGAAAGTTCATAATACCATTTTCTCTGATGGTTTACCTAATAGGAATCTGAAATTGTTGCCCTTGCTTCATTTCTTCATTCAGAAACTGCAGGTTTTCCTTGAGCTTAGGTGAAACCCTTTCCAATTTAAAAAAAGTACTGTATCTTGACTAAAAAAAATACTTTGTCAGTGTTTTCCAAATAGTAGGATTTTTAATATTTGTATATATTTGTAAATACTACTTTAAATATTATTCATGTGTGTCTTGTAAATGTGAAAATAAATTACTGTTCTCAAAAACTTTGTTGGCAAATCTGGACTTCCTATTTGTCATCTTAAAATGTTACATTTCATGCTTGTTTTTCATATCTTCTAGTACATACTTCTTAAAAGTGTTGATTTAACACAGAGGGAATCTCCTGATTTTGTGTAAAACGTACTGAATCCATTCTCATACCGTGTTCCTGCAGCTTACCTAAAGGCTCCTAGCTGTAAGGTTGCTGATAGTTTCTGAACCAATGCATTCCATGGAAAAGTTTGTGTTGACCGAATTTGTGCTGCAGTTGCAGAACCAGCTCACTGTCACATAAGTAAGTCGTTGTGATTCCACAGCAAAGAAAGGCAAGCTTTCAAGAAAAGGACTGATTTCCTGGAAGTGCCCGAGGGTTGGGTGTCTTTTTCTCATTAATATGTAGTCAACAGACTGGGTGGGCAACACTAGGTCCTGCTCCTACAACTGGGAGAGCACTTACACACTGCGTGGCAACTTTTCCTGCACTTGTTAATTTTCCACGTGTGACAGCAGTGGTAGAAAAAGTTGAGCAGCACCTCTAGCGTTCTGCTTTTATGTGGTGAACTTAATCTCCTAACCTGGACCTGAGACTTAAAATAAGAGGCTGGCTGAGTAATATCAAGAGTTTTCATCCATAAATCTGTCATCTGTTTAAATCCGCTGACAGATATGCTCAAGATCTGAGAATGAAAGGTGGAACTCCTCCATCCTTTATAATTACCTGTTCTGGTAATTGGATTATACCACCTTTACCAACCAGTCCTGTAGGCCTGAAGAAGATTGGTATTTGTATAGGAAGTAATAACCCTCAACTACTGGATATTGGTTTCCCCAGTATTGTTTGTGGGACATGGAATAGGCAATGGTCAGGGGTTTGATAGGCCTGCAAAGGCCGTAAGTCTCTTAGTAGGTTGTAGGCTGAGCACAGATAACAGGCCTGCAAAGGCCGTAAGTCTCTTAGTAGGCTGTACGCTGAGCACAGAGAGATAACCAATATTATAAGCAAAAGTTTGTTATGAGATTTTTCATCTACATCTATTGAAATTCCTGTGTCCTGAAGAGCACAGATGCCTTAATGTGATCTGGACAGATACTGCCCTTTAGCACATTGGTTTTGAGAAATGCAGCAGAGGCATCCATGCTCAGACGGGTGTTGCAAAGTATGATACATCTTGAATTAAAATTTGTGTCTGTTTTGGCACCAAATGTGGGCGATACAAACAATAGATTTACTTTTTCAGGTTTTGAGCTTACTAAGGTTAACTATCCACTTCAGTTGGCTTGCACAGAGTGAAGAACAGCTGCTTTTTTTTTTTTTTTCTATGCTTGTTTCCTGTAGAAATTTATCTGCTCGTGTAGAATTTGAAGGAAAGATCCTTGTTACTTCCAGATAAGGGGGAAGAACTGCACTACGTGGCTTCAGTGGTCACAACTGGAGATGAACAATATGAAGAAGGAGACATATTTGTCACTGAGTGATAAGAGGCAACTAATTTCTTCCTGAAACCTTGTTGCAAAGGTGAGATTACCTGACTTCTATTAGAACTTTGGCCAAGCTGGAATGAGTCCATTGCAAACCATTGTGGCTGTTTCTTTCCTCTTGCCCAACCATTTTTATGATCTTACCCTGATCCTCCAACCCTTGCCCTCCCAGCTTGAGTGTTAATAATCAGAATAGACGTTCAAGATTGCAGCCTTCAACAGGTGGGTGTCAGCTCCTTAAGGACCTTGACCTGTTACCAATGCTTGCCGTTTTCTTATGCAAAATTTCTTCGTAGAAGCATGGGGATCTGTGGTGGCCACACGGCTATTTTCTCCTGTATGGTAATCTTGCCCAGCTGTTGAAACCTTGCCCAACAATGCTGAGTACTGGAGCTGTATAAAAACTATGCATCTTGCTGAAAATCACGATTGTTCATCTGATCACAAATAGCTTCAGCAAACTGTGTATGGCAGAAAAAAAACAGAGGACAATCAGTCCCCACCCTGGCATCTACTGCTGAGCAAGAAAGCAGCTCCTTATGGAGAGAGAGGGTGTTGGAAGTTATTACTAGCAAGTGCCCCAACCAGTGCTGAGGAGTGTGATACATGTGTCAAAGGCAGGAATGAAATAATAGGAATAGTAGGGTGCCCCAACCAGTGCTGAGGAGTGTGATACTCCAAAGGCAGGAATGAAATAGAAATAGTAGATGCAGATTGTCCTTAATGGCTGTGCTGAGCCCACCCTGAACCTGCCTTTGATGTGCAATCAACGTGAGTCCTGCCTAAGGCAAGAGCATAGGACCTGCCATATGGAGAGGAGCTGCCCCCAACAGCTACAGCTGTGTTGGCAAAACCACTTTCAGACCCTACAACTGGCAGCCCCAGTGACATTGCAGGAACGTGATAAGCTTCTTACCCACACTACACAGGCCTTTCAGATCTACAGAGGGTGATAAATACCTGCAGGCTGACAGGGTCCCCTCTCTGCCTGGTGCAGCAGAGTACAGATTTCTCCCAGCGCCTTGCTTATCTCCAGGCATGGCTCTGCATGGTGAGGAAAAGGGTGGGATGTTTCTCTGCTCCTGATGTTTCTCTGGTGGCTAGCAGCTGTCTCCCCTGGCCTCAACAACTACGGAGCCAGGATATTCCTTAGCTTCACCCTAGCTGGGAGGCAGGCAGAAGCAGGGGTTTGAGGCTTTCTGAAAACAATACTGAATATCCACATCTTGCAGCTCTTCTCTCTTGCGCTTACGATGTTGCCCTGAAAAACCTGAGGAGCTGCTTCAGGTGCTTACATCTTTCTGCAAAGCCCTAAAGGCAATTTCAGCTGTCCCACCACAGCAACCAGAGGAGCTGGGGAGGTGTCAGATAATGATGATTAGTCCTATTGATAAACTCACTTGTGAAAACAAGGACGAGTTTGCACGCATTTACCAGTGTAAATTATCTTCCAGCAGCAGCCTTTGAGGTTCCTTTGAGGACTGTGGGGCATGGAAGAACCAAAACAGAAAAAAAGACCCTCTTACTTCAACACCAAAACTGCTGGTGCCTTAGCACCTCAGCTGTTCACCTGGGAGGCTGACGTCTAACGCGTGGCAAAAGAGCAGTATGTATCAGATATGCTGTCACTAGCCAAAGGCTCCACCACAAAAAAGTGACATTTTAGCACGCTGAATGTTTTGTTTGACAAAAAAGTTTAAAATTCAAAGTTCTGGCAGCTCTCACTCTCAAGCTCAAAATATTTAAAAGTCTGCCCTGACTCACAGAGTTCAAAAAAAGCAATCTAGATTAAGATTGTGGTAAGAATTTTCCACCTCTCAAAATATCTACTCCTAAAGCCAAGGGTTGACAACCTTTTTGAGGCAATTGTGCTATAATATAGCGATTTTAAAAGATTAAACATGTTCTGGAAAGGGAAAACCACGAGATGGTGCTCTTGATACACTGCATGAAGCTGGATTCCTTCTTGCTGGGTATTTCCTCCACTGCCCCTGACTGTAGCTATCCATCTAGGTACTACAGTCAGGGGTAATCACATTAAATCTGTGATTAAAAGAACAAAACCCAAACCTTGAATTCAATTACTGATTTTAACATTTTTTCAAACGTATTTGTGTAGGATATGTACTTCTTTACTGAACTTAAAAAAATACAGGTGCCTTCCATAAAAGCCTTATCCCACTGCTAAATGTGCATGCATTCTTCAAGGAGTTATTTACCACGCTAAAAACGTAGCATTTATTTTGCCTGCCTTGTGCCCCTGTAGGGACAAATGGAGAGCAAAGCCACCACTCCAAAGCAGTGGGTGCAAACTGTCCCGTCAAGCCCTCAGCACGCATCTGGAGCAAGTAGTAAGTGAAGCTTTGTCTGGGGTCAGATGTCAACTTCCTCACCCATGGAGGTTTGATGAACACTTCAGCTGTGTGACTGCTGTGGCATGACGTAGACATGTCTTCTGGCAGAAGCTAATGGTGCCAACTTGCAAAATATCTAAAAGGCATAGCATGAATAGGTAAGGCAATTTCTCATACAGTTCCTCTGCCATGGTTAGGAGGAGCTGGTGTCTTGAGCTGAAGTGCCATTACCTGAATGCAAGGATGGACCAAGGATGTTTGATTTTGGAATACACTTGCCATGGTAGAAAAGGTTCCCCCTCTACTACATTTACACTTTGAAGTAGAAGATGAGGAGTTACAGAGATAGACAACTGCCAGAAAGTGAGTCTTTTACCTGATAAACAAATTGCTGTGTCAGCTTCACTCAATTTTAATGTTACCTTGTTGGAATGGTTTCTCCTCTGAAGGAGTTCAAGGGAACATAAGGAAAGAGGGACAAACATAATGCTGATATTCCTAGCACAAAATAAAAGCAGCAAGGATCTACTTGATCCTGCTGGCAGACATAGAAATAGTTGCAAGGTTCAAATGAAGGACTAGACATTCTTGTAATAGCCATGAGGATAGTTCAGCAGCTGAGGGTATGTCCCTTAGGGTTCAGTATTGTTCTGCTCTTTGCATTCGGAACTACCCTTCTGGTACCTCAGCACAACATTCAAACAATCCAAGGGCTTGAGAGGCTTTTTGAGACCTTGAGATGCAAAAAAATGCATTTCCCTATGGCTGTTGACTGCTCTGTAGGTTTCAAGATGGTGCTGGGGGGATACGATGAGCTCTCCACAGCCCTCAGCCAGCTGCAGTGTCAGGGGCAGCCCATGACCCCAGGGATGGCCCTGAGGGTGTCCTCTGGCTGAACAGGGGCATGGCTGGGAAGAGGGAGGCAACCTTCTCCTTCCTCTGCCCTATTTTTCACCTCCTAAGTGCTGGGCTGGTTTTTGGGAGGTACCAGAAGTGCAGCTGTGTCTGCCAAGGGGGAGGATGATGGTGGGGTACAGAAGAAGGGTTGGGGAAGTCAGCTGGGGTGGCTGTAAGGCCCAGAACGGGGGGCAGGCTATGTCTTTTGGGTAGGTAACACAGCATGTTGTGTACATTTGCTGAAAAGCAAAGGCCTCCT